TAACTTATAAGTCATTTTCACATTTATATTATTTTTTTATAATTATTTTAATCCATGTGTCAAAACAGCTGGCCAGGTCTTGTGCCACATCACAATGGAAATTAGTAAATAGGATCCAACTGGAAAGATCATCAAAAGAAGTATTTCGTCTTCCAGGAAGAGACGTTGGAAGGGAGGTCGTGAAGAAAGTTTGCTTTGTTACGAGTAGAAAGATAATAAGATCCTTTCTGAGGTTTGAGCCAGTAACATTAAGAAGAGGTCCATGTCCAACCTTTGTAGGTGGCATCTGTAAGAATGATAAACCCGACCATGATACGAATAGAATTTGGAGTATGGTCGAGAGGGATTCAATAGAGTAGGCTTGATTCTATGAGGTCGTCTTAAAGAGGGAATTTAAGGTCAACCTGAATCTGGTCTTAAAAAGGGGGTAACAACCCTGAAGAGGCTAGTCGAAGGGTTCATCAAGTTTGGGGACTTGAAGTTCCAAAGATCGAGGGAGTTCACAATCGTTAATAAAAAAGGTAATATGGTGGTCTTTAAAGGAGGTCGGGGGATTTGGCTTGACAAGTGTTAATAGGTCGGGCACTACGTCAACTTTTTTCCCTTTGACCACAGTAACCTGGCATTTAGAACTACGGGCGAAGGGAATGGCTGCAATAGGAGTTGTTTGTTCAGGTAGGTCGGGATAGTTGTCTATCAAGGATTGGAGCTGGGCAATAGAAAAGTTCCTAGAAGGTTTGTCTGACGGTTGAGATGATGAGGTCAAAGAAGCTGATTGGCTGGAATTCGACATAGTGATTAATGCCAGAGTTTTGTTAAAAATGAGAAAGAGAAAGGGAAAATGATTGCAAGAAAGCCTAGAAAATTATAAAGAATAGTGAAAAGAGAGATTCAGAGGGCAACGAACATACCCATGGTAGTCGTCGGAAGAATTAGAGAGTTCGTGGGAAGATTCGATCGGAGATTTGAGGTTGGCTCACTAGAGTTGCTTTGCACTGAAGAGCTTAGAGTTTGAAAATGGTGGAAAATGGTTTGCAGTGTACAGTGTCGACTTTTATAGGCGTAGGGTTAAATTTTCTTTGGTTGGTCGAGCCATAACGACCGTTGATGCAACAAGAGATCAAGGATTCAAAATGGTGGGCCAAAAGATGATAGGACTGCTGAAAGTGGATTATCGGTCTGGTGGGGAATCGATGGCCCAAGATCCAAGCGTGTAAAATAGATGATACGTTTATGAAATTTTGTGTCACCCGAGGTCGACTGACAACGCATTTAATACAAAAAGTGATGGATTCAAATGGTGACAATTATGGTATTTTAGTACAAGTCTTGGTAGCTCGTTCTCAAATTAGAGGGGAGTGGTTAGATGATATAACACCCCTATTAGCTCGGTGAACCGACCTAAGTGGTTAGCTTGGGATTAATTTGTTTATAGGAGCTTTAGCTCAGTCGTCAGAGAGCTTAATGGAGTAGCTCAAGGTATGGTCGACCCGAATGAAGAAGTTAGGAGCCAAGCTCCTCAGAGAGCTCGGACGGATGAGGGGATAATGTAACCTTGGAGTCGTAGAGATGAAGGTCGTAGTTTTGATCTGGTAAGGGCCTGTGGCGGATGGGTCACGAGGTCGGAATGATGACCTAAGGTCCAATGATTCATGGCAGGAAAAGAAACAAAATCATGGTAAGTATGACAAGTGTATCTCAGTAAGAAGTCTAAGATTTTAGGGATGTGGCATACTAAGAAATAAGATACGGCAGTATTTTTTTCCTAATAACATGGCTACTTAGACAAGGGGATAACGTCTATATAAAAGAGGCTTACCAGGTTTTTTTTTACGTAGCACATATATCACGTTGTATTGTACAGTCTTTATTACCTTCACGAGCGGATCTGACTTAAGCATCGGAGGTTTTCTGCCAAGACCCCTCACCAGCGTGTTTTTCAGGTCACCGGAGTTGCGAAAGACGGTTTATGGTTGCATCGGTCTAAATCTGATTCAAAGGCAATTTGCATATGAGGTTATACGATCAGAGGTTGGTGTCATTAATATTGTCGGGTTTGAGGAGTTTTGAGCACTGGTTGTATTGTTTCTCAAAGTGTCGGTAATGTTTTCAATGATTTGGGGCCAAAAGCTTTCTTGTGGAGTTTTATGTGGTGTCATTCGAGTTTACCCATTTTTCTACCATCTGTTGATAATTTATTGTGTCATTGTATTATTTAGTTGTCTAAACATGAGTTATAAGTGTTATTATGATTTCTATTGCCAAACTAATATAGAATGTAAAGAAAATGCATGGGGAAGAAGCTTTTTATTTATTTTATGCCTCAATATTGAATATATTTTACAGTACAAGAGACGTTGCATTTATAACAGGAACTATACTCTCTCTCTCTCCGACATTCATTATTAATTTGATTTCATAGAGACGATCATGCTTCTAATAAAAAAACGGCTTCTATAATTTCATGACATATTAATGATTAGACATGTTGGATCCAACTCGACTCACTCCAAATATATTCGGGATTCTTTGATATTCTTATTTGCATTCTTCGTTGAGATAAAATTTGGGTCGTCGAGCCTCGTCTTTCTATTCGTCTCGACCACAAAAATGCATTTAAAATCTTAGATGGTCTTTTTATTGATTTCTAACCTTTGTCCCATTGTTCGGCTCAGGACTCCCAATTCAGACGTGTTATTAAAGGTGTGATTGGATATAACTAGACTAGTAAAAAAACGATTAAAAGTCAAATTTAACATAATCCCACTATCCTCAATATTATCAATATAACTAAATCATAGCAACCAATTATTCTTATACATCACATAACCTTTAATCACTATTCATCTACACACATAATTTAACTAACTATCACTTCCAATCATTTTTCTCCTACTTTATATCAAATCAACTTTAATTATTTTATTTTAAAAATTATTTTAATTGAAAATTAATTTTCATTAACAACTAACCATACCAACTTTACTAAAATTAACTATAGTTAAATAAAAACTCCAATAAAAATCATTCAAATTCATATCTAATCACACCCTAATTATCACCAAATTAAAAGAAAAAAAAAATAGGAAAAAAGCTTAATTATGATCGTAAGGCACTTGTTGTGGAACACGAAGCACTTCTTGGTAGAATGACCGATGAACAGAAAGGAGTTTATTCAAGAATTATGTCTGTTGTTGATTCGGGTGCTGGTGGAGTATTTTTTGTAACGGTTATGGTGGTACTGGGAAGACATACTTGTGGGGGACTTTGTCTGCGGCGTTGCGGTCGAAGGGTAAAATCGCTTTATGCGTGGTATCGAGTGAAATTGCATCGCTTTTGTTACCTGGTGAAAGAACTGCACATTCTCGATTTTGAATACCGTTGAGTATTCATGAAAATTCTTCTTGTGATATCAATCAGGCAAGTCCTTTTGCGGAGCTGATAATGAGATGCTCTCTAATCATATGGGACGAGACGCCGATGATGCACAAAAATTGCTTTGAGGCAGTTCAAACATCACTGCAGGGTGTAATGGGAGCAGTTGACCCTTTAAACAGTAGAAAGCCCTTTAGAGGCAAGCCGATTGTCTTTGGTGGAGATTTTCGACAGATCCTTCCAGTCATTCCAAATGGGAGTCGCCAGGACATTGTCAATGCAACTATTAATTCATCCAGCATTTGGAGGGACTGTACTGTGCTCCGGGTTACGAAAAACATGCGTCTTCAGAGCATTTTCGATTCGAATGAGCATGACAAGGTGGCTGCATTTGCGGATTGGATTGCGAGTATTAGAGATGGTACTATAAGAGGATCAAATGATGGTTGTGCCGCGATCGAAATTCCAGATGATATAGGACTGGATCCCTCTGATGATCCAATTGCTACGATTGTACAAAATAAGTACCTATCCAATGTTCAAGAACGCAACTGACGATCCGAGTTATTTGAAGAATAGGGCTATATTAGCTCCCACATTGGAAGTTGTTGAGTCCATCAATCAATACATGTCCGATATGAATTCTTCTGAAGGTCGTACGTACTTGAGCTCTGACAGTACTTCTAGGTCGGATTCTGGCAATGATTTCTTGGCAGATCTCCACACGCCAGAATTCTTGAATAGCATCAAGTGTTCTGGAACTCCCAACCATGAGTTGCACCTGAAGGTAGAAACTCCAGTAATGTTGTTGCACAATATGGACCATTCTATGGGACTGTGCAATGGGACGCGATTGGTTGTGACTAAACTCTCTACTCATGTTCTCAAATGCAAGATATTGACGGGAGATCACGCTGGCGATAATGTGTTGATTCCTAGGATGAATATCACTCCATCTAATACTAGGATTCCATTTAAGTTCCAGCGGCGACAGTTCCCACTTGTGATTTTGTATGCCATGACTATAAACAAGAGTCAAGTACAGTCTTTATCGCACATTGGTCTATTATTGAAGAAACCTGTTTTCAGTCGCGGCCAATTATACGTTGTTGTTTCACGTGTAACTAATAGAAGATGGTTGAAGATATTAGTTTGTGATAATGACGAGTTACTCAATAACCAAACTCATGATGTTGTTTACGAGGAGGTTTTTAATAATATATGATTGTTTCGTGACGAAATAATCATTTTTTTTAATAATGTTTCTATTTATTATAATTATTTCGATCCTAATCCATGTCATATTATATTATTCTCCAAAATTATACAGCCCGTGCATCGCACGAGTTCTACAATAGTTAATAAAAAAAAAAAGAAAAAAGAAAAAAAAATGTGGTGATCACCTAACAAATTCCACGTTATATATTTCCCCCACACGTGTCCCCCTGATAGCTTTTTACCTACGTCACAACTAACAAATGTTCATCCTCACGCTAATTATGAAAAACGCTCGTCTTCCGTAGCGACTTGTTTTAAAACATGTACCGCTACACACACGACTTTTGCTTTCGACTGAATGTGTTTATGAAAACGTCACAGTAACGGAAAATTTACAGGCAAAGCATATGTAGAGAACATGGGAGAAACTGAGGAGATTTAAACGAAATTAAAAAATTATTGAGGGAGAAGAAATCCCCTCCCCCCTCTCTACCCTAGTAGATCGGCCATCTTCAACTCTCAAATTTCTTTAGAAAGGGGAATAATTATTTTCTCAGTTCAACTTTTTTTGTTAATCTTTTGCGACCATTGACAGAGTATTTTTAACCTATTTTATGTTTGATTTATGTATGTACACGAATATTAAAATTCATGTGTCTCTGGTAATATGAAACTTGTGATCTGATAATTTGTGGGGAATTATTGGGGTTTCTGGGGTTGGAATTTAATGAAAAGGTAAGCACTTGTGGTGTTCGAAATTTTGGATGGCATCGGCGCAGGTATTGAAGAAGAAAGAGCATTTGGAAGCTGGAAAGAGGAAGGTATTTATTTATTTATTTATTGTTTTTCTTGGACGGTATTTAGTTTATCAATTGCATTTTCTTGTGTATGTGTTGTTTCATTCTTGTGTAAGGTAAGGAACACTTGGGAGGAATCGGAATTGGATGAAAAAATATAGGAGCACTTTTGTTGTTTCAATTGAAGACATTTTACGATTATTGGTATGCTCAGCCAACTCGTTTAATGCGAACTTGTTGGCTGTTTTGTTTAAGTCTAACCCTTAAGTCTTAAATGTGCTTCTAATTTTGGTTGTTTACTGCCTTACTTCAGTTGCTGATGCTATTAGTTATTAGTTTATCTAGTTGTAGCTTTCTTACTGTTGTATAAATGACAATGCAGCTAGAGGAGTTCCGCAGAAAGAAAGCTGCAGAAAAGGCTAAAAAAAATACCTCTGCTAGTCAACCTCCTCCTAACTCTGACTTTCCACACGAGAAACCATCAGCAAATGTACTCGTACACCTTACAGAACATAATGCAGCAGGTACTTCTGATGCACCAGCAGAAGATCGTGTGGGTCTCCCAGCTGTTGTTCAAGATGTTGCGCCCAAGGAAGCAGATACTTCCATTAAAAGTGATTTTGGTCCCTCTGTGGATACCAATGCTTCCAAAACTTCTCTTTCGGTAATGAATAACGAGATAAGGTCACCTGTTCAAGAGCTTTCCTTCTTGAATGAAAATGAGCACGTGGATGGTGCTGGTCCCATGAGTTCTGCTAGAATTAATGCTAAAGGTAATTTTGAGAATAGAAAGGATGGTGATGATCGGTCATCAGCTCAAGTTGTGGGGAATGACCTCTCTTTGGATCAAGTAGGATTTATTCAGGAAGTACCAGCTTCCAGTCACTTCACCTACCATGGGTTAGATAATTACCTGTCCAATAACAATGTTGACCGTGTCAATGATCTTTTACCTGGAAAATCTGATTCAATCTCCATTTTCCCCTCCGATGTTTTACCCAAGAATTATTTTGTCAGCACCTTACTGCCGGACAAGTTGGAAAATAGAGGGTATGAGGCTAACAACCTAACGTCCCCACCTTACCAAGGTATGATTATTGCTGTTTGTACCAGAACTTGTTTGTGCTCGTGCATTTCCATTTATGCCTCCCATTCCATGCTTTCAGAAGTTTTTAATGGCTTATGTTGCTTGTGCTTCTATGTGTTGGCTGTGGTCCTTCCTTTTGGTTGATAGAGTCTCTCCGTTCTAGCTCGAGTATAGTCAATGCTGCATTTGGACTCGAACAAAAACAGTCTGCTTTTCCTCATACGGTGGAGAAGAAATTCGGTGAAACTACTGATTATATGGGTAGTACAAACCATTCATCTCCATGGACGACCGGCCATAGGTATTTGGATAATAATTCTGATGTTCGAAGCTCTCCAAATCAGGCACCAGGATCTTCACCTGCAGCTGCGAGGAGATCCCGTCCCTCCTTTCTTGATTCTATACAGATCTCGAAAGGTCCTTCATCGTCCTCTGGAAATTTTGGCGAAGAAAAAGAGATCAAATTAGATTCCAAGGATTACCCAGTTAATGGTTTAGAGTCATCAGTTCCTCAGCAATCTGGTAGCTCTTCAGTCACGCCTGGAGATGGGGTTGGCCTCTTCAATAATTTTGTTGGCAAGAGACATGAGTTTTTTTCCCAAAAGCAGAATGAAGACTTTGCTGCTTTGGAACAGGTTTTCCTTTTTCTTGACATGAGTTTTTTTTACTGCCTTTTCTGTTGCCAAAGTTTTGTTGTAGAGTTGTTCTATGTGCTCCCCTTTTTATTCTCGTTGATTGGGTTGTATCTTCTTATTCTTACAATATTTAGCTCTCCTGGGTGAATTGATTTATCTGTTAGGATGAATATATTTTACAGAAAATCAACCGTATTCTTGGTGAATCTTTTTCATGGTGTTACAATGCTCTCTACAGGTTGTTGTTCCATAATCCTTATGTACCTTTAAACTTTGATTGAGTTATTCTTTTCTTTTCCGGTCGTTTATTATTTTTACTTAGGCTGGGTCTGTGCCTCTTCCTCTTTCCATTTTGGGTGTGTGGATGGAGTTGGGAGTGGAGGGGAGGTATTGGTAGTTGGCTATTTGATATTATTGATGGATTATGAAACTCAGAGTCTTCTTTGCTGTTTTACTATATTCAGTTTTTAGGTGAACTTGTGTTAATTTGTCGTGTTTATATTAGATGCACAGGCTTCTAGATGTCTGGTTTCTCTTGTCTGGAGATTAATTATGTTGGTTGACTGTTGAATACTTGAATTCAAATGAGAGTTAACTAGTAGGTAGTACAGCAATAGCAATATTAGGATATTCAAAGATTTGCATTTTGTCTGGTCTGAGATTGCATGATTAAGATATTACCAAATTTAAAGAGTTCTGGCTGGTTATGTTATACATAGATATCTAGATAGATGGTTGGAGTTATGGTTAAATATCACATTGACTAGTAATGTTACAGATACATAGGATGACTGCTGCTAATTCTGGCATATCTACAACATAGTGACATCCAATTATCTGTCCAAACTACTCCATATAGTCTGCATGGATCTTACTTAGTGCTGTTTGGTTTGAGTTCCTCAGTTGTAATTTATTTCTGTTCAGAAGATGAATTATATGATAAAGATTTTGCGTTTGGACTTGTTGTATCATTATTTGGTACATTTGTCTATGAAAGTCTCCAGGATGCCCTCATTGACCATTGTGAAGATAGCCTTTAGCCCTTTACAGACTTCATCATGTGCTTTCCAGAATAAAGTATTATTTCTGCAATTCGGCTATAATGTATTTGACACTTATTAGCTAGATAACGCCTACTTCTTAAAGTTACATCAGTTATTTCTTTTCAATAAGTTTATTTGTTGTAAATAACATTGTTATTAGTGGGATAGGGACAACTGACAAGAACTAGAAAGCATGTTGAATACTTATTACCCTGAAAAACAATAAATCATCAAAGAATTAGGAAAATATATCAAACACCAATGTCAATCTTAATTAGAAGCTATGTTTGTCCCACATGGATTAGTTGCTTGTATTGTTCATACGTGTGGGTTAAACACCCTCTCCCTATGAGCTTAGCTTTTGGTGATGAGTTCTTCACATGCCCATTTATCATGGTATTAGAACACCCAAATGGGTTTTGTTTGTTTGGAGGCGACGTTTGGATTTGGACCCAACCCATTTGGATTGGCACGCTGTGTGTGAGGGCGGGTATTATAAGTTCTGCTTGTCCCACATTGATTAGCGAGTGGGCTATTATTGTGTGTAAATGCGGGTTGGGCTCCTTCTCTCTTTGAGCTAGCTTTTGGGAATGAGTTCTATACAGACCCATTTATGACTTGGGGGCGATTGGATATAATCAATATCGGTTTTGATTAGATGTTGAGTTAAAATGAGTTAAGTTTAAATAAAGTTGATTAAGTGAAGGATTGTGGGATTTTGAGTTTGTATTTAAATAATATTTGAAATGTAATGATCAAAGTCGATGTGGTGTAAAAGTATGAGACATGTTATTGAAAATGATAGATAGTTAAAAATATGTGAGTAGATGAATAGTGAATTAAAGTTGATGTGATGTGTGCTGATGATTAATTGGTATTTTTTAATTATATTGGTAATATTGAGGAGAATTCATTTGAATTAAGTCTGTGTTGAATTTTGAGTTAAAGAATGTAAAAAATTATCCACCGTTGCCAATCACCCCCTTAACTACTGAAGTATATATGAACTAGCCAGTATATCATACATAAAACCCAAAACCCAAAACCTTAAATCCTAAAGGCGCTACCAGGAGCCCCGATTTTCGTCTAGGCGGCCTTTCTAGGCGCTCAGACAATTAGGCACCGCCTAAGCGGGCTAGACGCCGTCTGGACGGTCTCCATGCGGTTGCGAAGTTAGTCACGCCTAAACTGATTAGGCAGTCTTAGCGCCCATATATATTTTTTACATTTATAAAACTAAAAATTAATAATTATGTAAAATTAATATAGTAGGTATAAGTACATAATATTTTTGAAAAACTTTGTATTTTACCATACAAATTAATACAATTTATAAAATATATCTTGTAAGCTATGCATGGTATAAATATACATAAATTTATTAATATTTTTACGACCCTACCTAGGCCCCATCTAATCCTCGCCTAGGCGCTAGGCTTCAGTCCGCCGCCTAGCTCCTTTTAGAACCTTGCAAATAACACGTATCATGCTTCTGAGGCGATACCTAGTTGAAATTGGGGCAATAGATCATGGCATCTGGCTTTGGCATGGTTTTGGTGAGGCTTTAAAAACTACAACAGACATTCATGTGATAATCTGTTTCCCCTTTGGAAAATTCTTCATTGGGTTGGTGTTGGATCGTATTGTCTGTATTTCTTATGGAAATTTCAGGTTCAACTAATCTTTGTAATACTGCTTTACCATAGAGTCGGTTTATATTTCAAGATACTGAACATGAATTATGTATTGGCCATCGAGGGAATTGAAGTTATTTTTCATTAAGTTCTTTGGATGGGATTCGATTATGGTTCTGTGCAATAAATATGTTGGCATATTTCATGGATTCTTGTTGCAGTGTAAGAAAAAGCTTCTCAAATTATTTTAGTGAATGAAATGCTAATTAACCACCTCTTCTTTTTGTTGTTCGTCTTTGCAGCATATTGAAGATTTAACGCAAGAGAAATTCTCACTTCAACGTGCTCTTGAAGCTTCACGGTCTTTAGCAGAGTCCTTAGCATCTGAGAATTCTGCTTTAACGGATAGCTTTAATCAGCAGGTTAGAACTTATGTTAGGATTGGAAAGCTACCTGTAATTCTTGTAATGGCAATTGTTCGTTTGTAATTGCTGTTAGACATTTATTGTATTTGATTTTACCTGCATCTTTATTGGTCCAGAAAGATTCGTAGTCCTCTGTCTCCTATATTTATTTGGGGTGCTATTTTATTTATTGGCTGATCTCATTTTTTTTCCTCTCTCTTGTTGCCCAAATGTACTATAGTTGAAGTCCACGGGTTCTTCGTGATACCTTGCATCGAATTAAAGTGGTTCATATATTTTCTAAAGTTAACGTAACTTTTTTAACTTAGATGCACATTTATGGAGGACAAAGATAACAGTTCCACTGCTGGCACTAATATTTTTCTTTAGATATTTATTTAAACAAAGCAGAAGAGTGATGCATGGGCAGTACATATTTTCTCAATTCGCCATAGTATTGTGCTAGGTACATCACATTTGAGGTTGTTTTGTGTCAATAATTTGTTTCGATGAAGTAACTGGTATTTAACTTGTTTTCAACTGTATTTTTTTTTTTTATATTTTTCCGAGTTATTTATATGGTATCGCATATCCACCTTTAGTGACCGAAGGACATAAATGTGTCTTTTAATGAATATGCTTATTTTAATTAGTAGAAGATATAAGTATTGGTACATAGGATTCACTTTTCACATACCATTTTTTATTGTAACATTGAGGTAAGTTAAGCCAGATATTGGTAATGGACACCTGTATTTTTCTTTTTCTTATTCAAATATTTGATATCTCTTTCTCCAATTTATTTATTTATTTATTTATTTTTTTGCACAGTGAATTTGGTAGCTTTGTGTCCTCTTTCAAATTCCATTCTTTCCCTCGTGGATCAACAGTGGTGATAGTTTTGTTTTCCTTGTTTTCCCAGGGAGTCGTCGTCAACCAGCTGAAATTCGACCTTGAAAAAGTAGAGGAAGAACTCAAGGCTCAAATGGTTAGTGTTGGAAGAATTAAGCCGCTTTTCTTTAACATGAAATGTTTTTTTTTTTCTGTGTATTATGGTTTTTATGCGACACAGCATATTATAATCTTCTCTTTAGTGTTTTAATCAATGGCCTTCGACAATGCTGATTCTGTTCTGACGTTTGCCTCATATTAGTCTATAGACATTCTGCAAATTCTAGTATTGTTAAGTGTTTATAAAGAGCTGCTTTCATATTAGTTTCTTATATTATAGGCTGCTTTTCTGTATTTTTGTGTTATTTTTACTTCATGATATGTTTTGCCTTACAACCTTCATATATGAACGTTTTTTTAATTAATTTATCAATGGCCTTCCAGTACACTGGATTGTCTTGATTTTGACCTCATATTAACATAGCCTTATTTTATCTTATAAATTCTTGTATCATCTTGGAGTCTGTTAGAGGGCTGCAACTATTTTCTCTCTCATATTTCATAAGCTTCTTCACTGTTTCACATTTTCTTTTGATGTGTTTAGAATTGTCTCAACCATACAAGTCCTATCATGTGTAGGTGCAAATTGAAGCTGTAAAAATAGAATATGCTAATGCCCAGCTGGAATGTAATGCAGCTGATGAACGTGCAAAGCTATTGGCTGCCGAAGTTATTGGCCTGGAAGAGAAGGTGAATGACCTCCTTTGATTATTTTCCTTGTCTTACAAACATGCGTGAACGTTTAGAGGAGAATTCTCACAGGAATAGTTTAGTTGGCTTAATCTGAATTTATATTATTCCTTTTATTTTGTTCAGTGTTTCATTTCGTAAACCATGTTTAGATTCAGCCCAAGTTTCCGTTTCCATAACTATTATATGTTTAAGCTATGATATACAGTCGTCTATAATATAAAACACTAAACCAGAATAGGGGATGAAGCTGTATTTTGATATAATGATCAAAGGAAAAGGTTACTTATTAATTATTATTATGTCAGTATGATCGCTTTTTTTTTTTTCCTTTNGGAGGTTATTAAGAGGAGTTTTATTAATTCAATTAGTTAAAGTTATAATATCTTTAATGATGTTTGCCAGTGTTGCTATAGTGGGACTTAGACCTCTGGACTATTCCCTTTTTTTATTTTATTTTTTATTTTCATTTCAGTGAAAATCCTCAAATGTCTAGTCAAAAGGAGGGTGTAGAATAGGGCTAGTTTCTGATATTTTGATGGCCAATATGAAATAGTGGCAGTATGTTTATGGAGTTTCATTTGCTGGGTTGTACACCTCCCTGAAGCTGTTGATGTAATAGCAGCAGCCAGCCAATTAATCAGTGGCCTAAAGACTTACGAAATGCATTTGGTTACTGTACTAGCAACAGCCAATATAATTAGTAATAGAATTGAAAATTTAATAAAATCACATACATTAGGTGTTCTAAAGTTTGAGTAGTATTGTTGCTGGTTATAAGCTTTCTATTGATAATCGATTGACTCAATGGTGAACTGCTGATGGCCGACATACTTGGTAGCATCTGCTTTCACTTTCTATGGTGATTATTGATGTAACCTTCATGCACAACATACTCTTTGTTTTGGTCTTACTTGTTTGTTCCTACCCAAAGCAGTTCATTTGCACAATATTTATTAATGTTATATTTCTCTGTATTTCATGTATGTGATGGTTATTCTGTGGATTCCTGCAGGCATTAAGATTGAGGTCCAATGAATTAAAATTGGAGAGGCAGTTGGAGAATAGCCAAACTGAAATTTCCTCTTTCAGGTAACTTTAGATTTCTGATTTTTTAGTTTGTGTATTTCATTTGAGTGCCATGCTTCCCTTTGGAATACTCTTTTCTTACATTACATCGTGGTATTATAAGCCATCACATTGTTATGCTGATAAATGCTAGTGTAAGCATTCCTTTTCATAGTTTGATTATCTGTATTGCAGTTATTCTCTCTCTCTCTCTCTCTCTCTCTGTCTCTTGAATTTTAATTTTGTGATTTTTTCCCACAGGAAGAAAATGACATCCCTTGAGAAAGATCGTCAAGATCTACTTTCAACTATTGATGCCTTACAAGAAGGTAGATTATATCTTGTATTCTTTTTAAGTTTGTTTTTAGAAGAATCTGTAAGCGGATTTGAAATAAATAGGTACCCCAAATTTGTTATTCGTTCTGTCCTTTGATGCAGATCGTTATATCGACCTCAAAACACATGTATTATGCTTTTT